GAACCCGGCAAAGTGCACATTCGGAGTCCCATCCGGAGAATTTCTTGGCTATATAGTAACAGAAAGAGGGATTGAAGTCAATCCAAACCAAATCAACGCCTTTCTAAACATGCCATCTCCAAGAAACTTCAAGGAAGTACAACGGTTGACTGCGCGGATTGCGGCTTTGAATCGTTTTATCTCGAGATCAACAGATAAGTCGCTACCTTTCTACCAAATTCTAAAAAGAAACAAAGGATTCCTTTGGGATGAGAAGTGTGAAGAAGCTTTTGGGCAGCTTAAGGCATACTTAACTACTCCACCTATATTATCCAAGCCAGAAGTGGATGAAAAGCTTTATTTGTACGTGTCGGTTTCAAACCATGCAGTTAGCGGAGTCCTGATCCGGGAAGACCGCGGGGAGCAAAAGCCGATTTACTATATAAGTAAGTCAATGACGGATCCGGAAACCAGATATACAATGATGGAAAAACTCGCAATCCCATTCAGTTGAAGTATGAAGCTGCGCCCATATTTTCAATACTTCATAGTCCGAGTCAGTCCGGACGTTTGGCGAAATGGGCGGTGGAATTGAGCGAGTACGACATAGAATTCAAAAGCCGGATCAGTATGAAAACTCAGGTTTTAGCAGATTTCCTAACCGAGCTACCAATACCTGGAACGATAGAACAATCGGAGAACCAAACTTGGAAATTACATGTAGATGGGTCTTCATCAAAGCAAGGATCCGGAATAGAAATCAAGTTGGAATCTCCAACATCGGAAATTCTAGAACAATCATTCTGATTATTATTTAATGCTTCTAATAATGAGGCAGAATACGAAGCCCTAATTGCCGGACTTTGATTGGCACAAGGAGTTGGAGCTAAGGAAATAGTCGCTTATTGCGATTCGCAATTAGTAGTTAACCAGTTTAATGGAGACTACGAGGCCAAGTACTCAAGAATGGAAGCATACCTCGAAGTGGTGAAGGATCTATCTAAAAATTTCTCGAAATTCGAATTAATTCGCATACCTCGGGGAGAGAATACGACTACGGACGCACTTGCCGCGTTGGCGTCAACATCAGATCCTGAATTGAAAAGAGTCATTCCAGTGGAATGCATTTCGGAGCGAAGCATTCAAGACAACAAGGAAACCCTCGTCGTTACAAGATCTCGAGCAGCGGCACGTGACCGTGGCGAACCAGAGGTCGAACCACCACCCAACAAACAGAGGAAATCAAAAGGATCAAACACGTCTAACAAGGAACCCGTCGTCTTAGCAAAAGATGCGATTCCAGAAACAGTACTAGAGACCGAGCCATTAATCGAGGAGGATATTCTTGAACCAAACGAGCATCCCGAACCAGAGCCACGAGTATTTCACAAGGTCGACCAAATTCCGGCTAAAGACTGGGGGGCTGACTGGAGGGAGCCAATAAAGCGCTACATCATGACAGGCGAGCTCCCAAAGAATAAGTGGCAGGCCAGAAAAATGAAAATCGTTAGCGCAAAATTTTGTCTATCAAAGGATGCATTATATAGACGAGGTGTTAGTGACCCTTACCTATTATGCATTTTTGGGCCCGAAGTCGAAATCGTCATGAGCGAAGTACATGAAGGATTATGTGGGAGTCATTCATCAGGAAGAGCTATGGCTTTTAAAGTTAAAAGAATGGGATACTATTGGCCCACTATGATCACGGATTGTGTTAAATTTGCCCAAAGATGTAAGCGCTGCCAACTCCATGCACCATTGATCCATCAACCTACGGAGTTATTCTCTTCCATCTCCGCCCTGTACCCGTTTATGAGGTGGTCAATGGACATCATTGGACCATTGCACAGATCAACTCGAGGTGTACAATACCTTTTGGTCTTGACGGACTACTTTTCGAAATGGATTGAAGCTGAGGCATATGTTGGCATCAAGGATTCGGCGGTGAAGACTTTCATTTGGAAGAATATTATATGTCGACATGGAGTTCCGTACGAAATATTCACTAATAACGGGCCACAATTCATTTCACAAGAGTTTGATGCTTTTTGTGCGGACTGGGGAATCAAAGTCAGTTATTCTACTCCACGATATCCGCAAGGAAACGGTCAAGCTGAAGCCGCGAACAAGACAATATTGAGCTGTCTCAAGAAACGCTTAAATCATCTAAAGGGAGGATGGTATGAAGAACTCCAACCCGTCCTATGGGCCTATCGTACAACTCCTAGGCGACCTACCGGAGAAACTCCATTCTCTTTGGTTTATGGCATGGAGGTAGTAGTACTAGCTGAACTCAACGTGCCCGGACTTCGCCGAACAGAAGCACCATTAAATGAGTAAGAAAATTCAGCAATGCTTAATGATTCACTAGATACCATAAATGAAAGGCGTGATCAAGCTTTGATTCGGATCCAGAATTACCAGCAGGCAGCAGCCCGATATTACAACTCTAAAGTCAAAAGTAGGCCGTTCTTCGTGGGAGATTATGTGTTAAGGCGCGTTTTTGACAATAAAAAAGAAGAAGGCGCCGGTAAACTCAGTATTAATTGGGAAGGACCTTACATTGTTACCGAAGTGGTTCGAAACGGTGTTTATAGGCTGAAAGACTTAGAAGACATGCCAGTCAAGCGACCTTGGAATGTGATCAACCTAAAGAAATTTTATGTTTAAAGCTACACGCATTTTATATGTACATGAACTACGGTGTGGCTTGATCCCGAAATGGGTACGTAGGCAGCTCGGAAACGAGTTCAGCTATTAATAAAAAATTTGTTTTATTTTCTGTATTAAAGGGAAAGGTTCTACTTTGCGAACAAGTGAAGCAAATAAAGGTTCGGCTATGCGAACATACAAGAGATTGGAAATGGAGCGTTTATTCAAACAAAAAAGATGGAATGTCCCTCATCGTACGCTTCGGGTTATGGAGATCTTGTTGACGAGCATAACACTTCAACCCCTTGACCAGCAAGGTCAAGGATTGGCATCATGCAGTCCGGAATTCGAGCAAAGTCAGAGATTCCAAGCTCGATCCATTCTCCAGGGTGAGATTCAAGGACGTAAAGATCTCTTGATACCGTAGTAAGCATGCGTTGCATCCGGTTAATCCTCTTCCTGAGTCTCCTCTTTTCCAACGTAAGCTTCCGATGTTGAAGCACAAGTGCCTCTATGAATGCCATCGCTGTTCCTTGGTCTCTGATTGGGAGATCCCTGATCAAAGCACATGGAGCTCGGATCTGGGATCTGAAGAAGCCGCGAGGTGGAAGAGGCCGCCTATTTGGCTCATTTGGAGCATCTTCGTTTATCATTCCAATCCTGGAGAAGTCGGGCATAGATTCTGAACATCGAAGGTTGAATTCCATACCTGCTAAAATGAAAAAGAGTGGTGAGGAGAAAAGAGAAGTTGAGGCTATAATTTATAGGAATGTCATATTCCTAAGTAAGCTGCGGATTCTATCCTAGGAATGGAGTGATTCGCTAAGAGATTTATGCCCTTAAACCGATCCTGCATTAAAAGACGCATCTCCGAGAATATTTGAAGAGTAAGGAAAATTGCAAATGTTTCCATAAATAAAAAGGGGCCGAAGCCCATTACGAGTTCAAAGTAAGTGAAGAAGTTAGAGAACATTTATGGAAGAGGCTCAGGAACAGGCTCCTTCATTGCCGGTTTAGTTTTCGAAGTGGACGCCTTGTTCTTGGCATCCACTTCGGGACGATCCCGAACGCGTTTCCGACTGGTACTGGCCTCCTCCTCGTCTTCTTCCTCGCTGTCAGATGGAACGGTACGGACCGGAGCATTCACAGGACCCAGAACTCCTTTAGCACGGAGATACATCCGAAGCATCTTCGGGATCTCAGCAACAGAATCGAAGTTCCGCCATTCCCATTGAAAGGGATCACTTTCCAGAGCCCTTATCTTCCTCTCCACCCGATCGATGCGAGCCTTGAGTGTTTGCCTTTTGAGACCTAGCCGCTGCCTTTCCTCACACAAGCGACGGTGTTTGTCGGCGACCTAGCATAAAGATGAATGAATAAAACGAAACAAAAAGTTTTTAATCAAGAACCACGGATGTTAACCTTGTCAATAAAGTCGCAAGCCTCTTTCTTCTCCTTTGAAGGAAAATGAAAGACGGCGTGACGGAAAAGAACGCCGGCCGGTTCAAAGCCATCGCCGGACAAGAAAAGTGGGCTGCCGGGATCAACGGGGGCTACGTTTTCGTTTTCCATTAATGTGGTGTTTGTTGAATGGATTATGAAGTTTCTTGAGAAAAGATTAAAGGCAAACAATCTCCTATTTATAATAGGGTTAAGGTTTGTCTTGGGAATGAAAATTCAATAATGGTGGCGTGCCCTAATGGTTTAAACCATTTTTGGAAATCGAGAAAAGGCAATTATTGCATTAAAGACGAGCCGCTTTTCCTACTTTCAAGAAATAAGAAGGGAAAGAGCAACCGTCGCATTAACTACAAACGTTTCTAAGGCCCAAGCCCAACAAATTTACCGAGTTGACTAAACCCGAAGTGGGGAACTCGCGTTAAGCCGAGCTCAGTTCTCGCATTCTAAAGAGAAAGGTCTGATCAGCCTAAAAATCTCGAAAGCATAACCACAAGGCCACAAAAGGTTAAAAGCGGACTTTGCAAACCCGCACATAATTTTAACCAAACCCCCTTGGGGTCATAACCTAGAAATGTTTAAAAGCCTCCTTAGGCAAATATCTTGTTCAAAAAAAAAAAATGATAAAGCCTCCTTAGGCAAAAACAAGTTCGTAATTAAGTTTTAAAATAAATGGGACAATCCTCAGTTTAAAGTGGGCACATCCACTACGGATCGACAGCCACCTCGAACTCCGGCTCGGCTGTCGAAGTTTCATTCGCCTCCTTGGCTGGTGCTTGGTCAGATGAAGCTCCTGGTCCGCCCTCCACGGTACAACCATCCTCTGGGGTGACCTCCGGTGCCGCAGGAACTTCGGGTGGGACGACATCTTCCGTCTCACTCGAGCCTGGGAAGGACAGTTCCAGTCAATTTTAAACATAAAGTGAGAAAAAGGTAGTAAGTGTCAGGAGCCAGGCGTTACCTGCCAAGTCTAGACCCGATTCACTTATAGGAGGCGATTCAGTGAAGAATTCCTCGAAGTCCTGCGGGTTGAAGGTCGAAGTGGGAAGAGCTGCCAAGCGACTCCGCTTTTCAGATAGATTAGCCGACAGTTCGGTCCTCTCTTGCACCTCGGAGAAATCTGTTTCATGGATTTGATCCAACAGAATCAGGTTGCTCTCGTGCTCCTTGATGTCTGATTCCAAACCTGACCTAGCTTTCTCGGTTTGAATGAAGCGGATGGCTCCTTGGATCAACTTCATCCCGCGTCCCTTAACCTCTTTTCTGGCCTTTGATGCCGACCTCGCCAATTCGGAATCACACAATTTGGTGATCGCCTTGAACTTCGCGTTAAGCTCAATAAGTTGGTTGTTCAAGGTATCGGCGGTTGATTCGGATTCATGAAGTCTACCCTGAACACCAGAAAGTTCATCCTGGAGTTTGTAATTCCGGTCATACTGGTCCTGCAGCTCCCCCTTTATCTTCGCAAGCTCGGATGTTAAACTATCGACCTTGTCCTCCAGATCATGCTTGGAGCCAGTGGAAGAACGGAGTTCAGCTTCAAGAGCAGAAAGTTTTTTCTTCCACGCGTCAATCTCCTTCTCCCGACCAATGACCAACCCCTCATAATGCTCAATCATGTCATTAAGCTCGCCGTTAGACTGGTATTATACATAAAACCGGAATGGCGAGTCAGTTCAAAAAATGGCAGCACAATCAGAAAAATAAAGCGGAACTAACCCGAGATGAATGATGAGCATGAAGCAAGTAGCGTTCACGGATCGCAGGGCGCCACTTGTCAAAATCTGGCAAGATCGCGCCAGATCGGGTCTTGAAGCATCGGAAAACACTGCCTTCTTTCTCCATAGCTGTGAAGGAAGAAGAGTTGTAAAAATTAGAATCTAAGCAGAGATAAAAACTTTTAAGCGTATGTAAATCGTCAAACCTGAAAGTGATTTGATTTGAGGGACAAGAGCAGGCTTTAACTTCGAAGAAGCATCTCGAGACTCGGAATCTCCCTTTTTAGGAGATGCACTCCGGGCAGTCTTCTCGCTCTCGGGCTGGGAAGAGGAAGACATATCAACAGGTCGAGGAGGACCCATTGGTTCAGTAGGAGAGGATGATCGTGGTGAACGGTCAGTCCGGGCCCTTGATTTCTCCCTTCGCGGAGAGGAATCACTACGAGATGACTTGTCTTTCTTCCTGCGAACCAAGTTCTTAAGTGGTTCATTGCTAAAATCATCTCGGGGAGGACGAGGAGATAGGTCCCTCCGAGGAGAACGATCGTCACGACGTTCGCGACGAGGAGAACGATCGTCACGACGTTCGCGATGAGGAGTTAATCTGAAAGCAGCGACGGATCTGGCTCCCTCGGTGCTGTTGTCATCAACCAGTAGGGTCCTGCTGTAGTCTTTTTTGTCGATGGCGGCCGCAAGGAACACCTTGTTTTCGTCACAAGCCTCTGCTATCGGCTTGGAGAGTTTCTTACGCTGGGCAGTGAAGGCCCGAGCTGACATTCCCTGAGTTGAGGGAGGAAGCGGACGACGATGAAGTTGATTGGGGGGACTCATCCTGAGTTTTCGATTGGCTTCAACGAACCGATCGAGGGTGAAAGAATTCCAAAGGGTTTCCCCTTCAAGGATTGTTTTGAAGAACTTGACGAATTCTTCAGTCGGAAGAGACGAAGCGATGACAGCTGCGAAGTGAAACAACGAGTTTGGTCAGTAAAAAATAAAACAACCAGGAAAGGAATATACGACCTAGTTTCTACCAGGCTTTGCAGTCCACTTCGATGGGAGTACATCGGAAAGATTTCCAATCGAAGTAGGAGTTTTCTTAATCAGGAACCAAGGATGGTGCCAGTTTTCATCCGTGTTTGGGAGGTGCGAGATGACGTTCCTGTTGGCATTCGGATACGCCGAGAAGTACCCTGTTTTCTTTGACTAACTTCTCACGCTCAGAAGTTCGTTCAGCTCGGGGACCCCAATAATGTAGTCTGCTTCCACCGCAACGGTTATGATCCCGAGGATGGTTCGGAGAAGATTGGGGGTTAGCTGAGGTAAAGCGATCTCAAGAGCCGCCAAGTATCGAACCAGGGCTTCAGGAAGGGGGAAGGTCAATCCGCAGCCCTTGAAGTAGATTTCATAAACGCAAAAGTAGCCGTCGCGATGATTTTCCGGGGACTCCGTAGGGTCGGCTATCTACGCTTCCGCTATGATTCCAGGGGGAATCTGGCAAAGCCCTTTTAATCGCTCTAGGGATTGAAGGGTACAGGTGGATCTGTAGTGTGGACCAGCTATGTCGTTGGGACGAGTGCATTCGTCATTACTGGAGCCGCCTTCAAAGGATTGAGACTCAGGTCTTTCGGAATCAAAAGTCATCGGAGAATATGAGAAATTTAAAATCCGGCAAAGAGAAAATCGGCGAAGGAAGAGAAGAGAGAAGTTTCGATTAAAGCATAAGAGTAAAAAGTGATGATGAAAGAAGTTACCTCACGAAAGCTAAGTGATAATGATGAAACCGCCTTGGGAATCGTGGGGGAAGTGGAAAGGTTTCCCGCTTTAATAGAAAATAATTAAGATACGGTCATAATGGTGACAGATGTCACGCGACTAAACATGGATAGCGCCGAAATTAAAGGACTGACGGGATCTTGGCGGGAAAATCAAAAGATTCCTCAGAACGCAATCTTTGGTCGTTAAAGCATTTAAAGTCCTCCGAATTGGAATGGCAATTAGAAGAACTTGGGGGACTAATTGTTGGTGTCGGATCCCGCACCAGAGGTTCGGGACCAACCAAAGATTGCCACGTATTTGGGTTAACGGCCCAAATAGGATAAAGCCCGTTAGATCCGCTAGTCAAAGGAACATTCGAAGTGGATATCACCATAAGGAGAATCCGAAGTGACTGCACCTCGACACAATTCCGGAGACGAAGTCACGGTTAAGCTGGTTCAAGGACATTTGGGCCAAAAGGCGAGGCCCATGAAGATCAGAATCAACTCAAATTCAAACGTTAGGCATTAAAAGCAAAGATCAAAACGGACACATTTAAGAGAGAATAATTGTACTTAATTATTCACTTAAATGTCGTTTTTATGTATAAATATAAAGGCCGATGGCCATGTATAAGGGGGATTCTCTCGAATAAGAAATACCACCGCAATTTTTGTAGCAATTCATAAGCTTTTTACATATTCATTTTTTGTCCCTCAAGAGTAATCTTTCCTACTTAACAAAAATACTTGAGTGTGTGAATCCGACATCCACAACGAGTTAAAGTTCCATCAACAAATCCAAGTTTGTTTTTAGCATCAAGAGAAGTTCGCATAGCCACACTCCAGTCACCATAGTTCGTTTCTTCTAAACGATGAGAGATGATGTTTAAACCTGGATGATCAGCACTATGCATAAAAAACGGAGAGAAAGTCGGATCTGAAGATTCCAGTGATATCCTGCCTCGCAAAGCTTTAGAAGCTTGATTAACAGCACCTGAAGGAGAATCCGGAGGTGATCAGTCACACCAGTAGATCGCGATGATTTACGAACAGCTGAGCTTGATGGCTCTGATACCATATTACGATCTATAGAGAGAGATTGTAGATGAAGAAAGAAGAGTTTGTTATGAAAGATTCCTTTTCATTTCTTAGTAAACACGATTTACAAGTGTTGGATTATATACACATATGGTTATCTATCTGTACCAAGTTAAACCAACTAATTAAGCTAAACCGGACATTTACTCTAATAGTTGTGTGTGTGTTTTTTTTTGTATGAATGTAAAATTTATTCACCAAAAAAACTGTTTTACAATAAATGCGTCATGAAAATCGAAAGTGAATAGAAATATTTTGAAAAAATAAAAAAAATAAAGCAATGGACTACCGACTATACGTTGTGTGTTTAACTTACACTTAAAGAAGGATCGAGATTGAGCTACAACATACAACATCAATTGACCTATAATCTGTTACACATCGAATTTAACATCATCACTTAAATTTCATGATGAGACTATATATATTTCTTACCTCAAATGCAAACCAATTTTAAAGTGGGAAGACACATATTTGAGCTTGGTTAAGGTTTTGGCTTTTTAGTTTTCATAAAACTATGTGGGTTCAGTTTTCAGTTTATATTTGGTTTGGATAATATATGACTTGGCAAATTCTGAAATGTTATATTGTTTTAAACAAACACCACATTGTTTAATGTCTAAAAAAAATACACTCATATTTTATAACAAGCAAAAACGCAAAATATCGATTATAGATCATATTCTTAGACGAATTATAGACGCAGTAGTTATTTCATTTA